CCCCCCCCCCCCCCCCCCCCCCCCCCCCCCCCCCCCCCCCCCCCCCCCCCCCCCCCCCCCCCCCCCCCCCCCCCCCCCCCCCCGGGTGGGTGGCTGTGAGTATTTACACAGCAAGCCAAACGTGTATCGTTATATTTCAATCAGGTTTTTACGAATTTGTAAAAATAACGGCGAGTTGAGGTGAGAATTGTGCGAATCGATGGTGAGAATTTGTGCGAAGACGATTGTTACTTTTCTTAACCCCAGAGAAATGTGTTATGTCCTTGACATGAATTTGTATTTTACGAATTCGTAAGAATAATCTAAAGTAGAATTTTCAGTCCGATCTGATAAAATTTCAACGTATCACAGTATAATCAGTTTATACGAAATCGTACTTTGTAAGGGGAAAATTGTATTAGGAATATCACTTCCATGCTGATTTTTCAGCAACTTGATCAGAAAACATGCTAAAGAGCTGGTTGACATGTTGTAGACAACTTTTGCCCCACAAGACGAACTATCCAAGTAAATTTTCAAATACTAAATGAAAAAGAAAAACGAAGGCTTTTAGCTAAAGTCATAAACAATAAATGTTGAAGACCGAAATCGATTCAGTTAGTTTGATGTTTTCTCCAGATCTAAAACTATACAATTCAAGTCTATCCGATCCGATTTGACCTCAGAAGTTTCTTTAATCTGCGTACGGTGGAAGAGTCGGAAAGTGTTTTGATTGATTTTAGCGAATAGAAACCTTTTTTCCATTGCTGGAGGTATTCTTCAACAGGGATTCAGTCATCAACTGGACCTTATCCTGAGCCATCAACTCCAGATGTTGTCACGGTTATATTGATGAGTCAAATATCTATAACGGAGAACTGTACGATATGTATGTTTACCAGTTGCAAAATTCAGTTTAACGGGAAACTTTGGTTTATTAGTAATTTCTATTTTCAATGTGCTTCGGAAATAAAAGAATAAGCTTAAAAGTTATAATAAATGAAATAATCAAAACTTTCTTTCACCATTATCGTTCGAGGTTGTTGGTCCACTATGGGATAATGTACCACTTGCATCACTAACGGTTGTACCAGCATTTGAGCCATCTCTAGCTGTAGCGCTTGCATTATGTGTTTCATCTGCATTTGAAGTATCGGCTTTAGTAGAATCTTCAGTTTTGGCGGTTCGATCATGAGTAACATCACTACTTTGATTCGAAGACATTTTAAATGTTAGGTACGAAGAGTGTTTATCAACTTTATTTATCGAAATAACGTGTATACTGTTACTTATTTTTACTGAAGTGAAAGGAGAAAAGAATAAAACAAAGCATTTATCCTACTTTGAGATATAAAAGTACAGAAACAATGTTCTTTTTCTAACGGCAGCACATGGTGTATATCTACAAGTATATAAGGGCAAGAAGAGAAAAGAAAAACGCTTGAAGAAAACATGACTCACTCTGGTGTCGATCCCTCAAAGTATCCAATGCCGACCATCAGTAACTGCTGTACATCAAGTTCAAATAACACAATCATACTTGAACTTTTGAGTCTTCGAGCTGTTACAGTTGACAACATTAGTCGTATCACTCTGCAGTCGTTTTGATTCTAATGGCATGTGAGCGTAGCAGCTTCATATGTAGACTCAGAAACGATTGTAGATTGTTTTGACGTGTTTAGTTTATACAGCAGACATGTGTGTTGTTTGAATATGTTTTGCTATTCTCTTTTTAAACGAAATGTCCTTTATATACAAGGCATTCGCTATTCTCGTCGAGAATTACGGTACACAATCATTACCGATATCAATACAGTTGCCTATTCTGATCCATAGAAGACTAAAGCGTCGAAGAAACTAGTGAAAAACAAGTAGCGTTCATCATTCTGATTCACTTATCCCTTGACTGGAAAGGAATCACCAATAGGAAATTATTTCTATAGAATATTATAATTATCTTTCTCGTCCACAATACTGCTCCACAATTGAGGGCT